ATTTTTAAATTAATTTTATTGGCGTGTGTACACTGATATTTTTTTTGTGAAGTACCCCTCGGGTGCGACTCCCGGTACCCCAGCTGAGGCCGATAAGGCACTTCCCCGCTCGGCTTATCCCGGCCGTGGCGTGGCGTGACGTGGTGGACACGTGCGACCAACCGGCAGTTCGTAAATTTGTACTCGGGGCTGCTCTCGTGGTTACTGGGGCTCATACACACAACCGAATGGGAAAAGCAAGTGAATTATTAAAAGAGAAAAGACAGCAGCGGCGGTCAAAGACGCCAAATCGGTTTCGTCCCATTCCCGTATTCTCGGTACCCGCGCGCGAACGCGATGGTGTGTTGTTAACCTGTACAGAGTGCACGTTAAGCGGCTTTCGATTATGAGTTGTTATATCGGGCCTCGCTGCACCCCTGAGGGGCTGTGCGGTGTGCGTAACCCGGACAGATTAGGAGTGGGTGGGGGTAGCGAAAATTCCATCCATGAGCTGGGGGTTGAGATGGGGGGAGCGGGTGTCGAAAAGTGCTAACTCTTTTCCCTCTCTCTGTCGGCAGCGGGCGAGCAGCGACACCTCCACCCAGCAGGCGCGCCGTGCCGCGTGCGGCGAACAGCAGCAGCGCGATGAAGAACACCGTCATCAAGTGAGTACAGTGCAGCGCAAAACAGGCGGCCGCGTTCGGGCCCGTATCACAGTGCCGCCGACCGGTCAAAGTGCGGCCTGGAGCGGAGCGCAGACACACCGCGCCAAATCGGTTCATCGTGCGGGCGCTGGGGGGGAAAATACTCCACCAAAGTGTTCCATTGTGACGTTTGAGACCCCGCGCGTCTTGCTTTATAAGAGCCTCGCGGCGCGCGTCGCCGTCGACTCGTGCGAGTAGCCGCCGCCCGGGGCTTCCCTGCGCTGCACTTAGGCCCTTCTCACGCTGCTCGGTTCGGCTGATCGCGCCCGCCTCGGCTCGACTCGACCTCCAGGAGGAGGAGGTCGTGAGGTGCAGTCTCTGGTGGCCGCCGCGGCCCGCAGAGACTTGCATGCGGGGGCTGCTGCAGTGCGAGCGTGCCAGGGTGAGGACCTTCGCTTCCTCGTCGCCGCCCTGGCGCACCCCGACGATACCCCCCCACCTCGGCACTGACGGCCCTGGCACTGACTACGCCGTCGTGACACAGGGCACTGAACTATGGCTCCTTCGCGCTGCCTAACACGCTGCTGCCGCTGACAAGACGGCAGGTGGCGGTGGCTGTTGTTGCAGTCTGTGAACTTGTTGGCTGCGGTGTCGTCTTCCTGGCGACCTCTGCCTCAGCGTGGCATGCCAATGAGCAGGGCAGCTATGGTCTGCCAATGCCGAGCTGGCCGCTGCCAAACCGACAAAGGCCCGCGGGCGGGTGTCGCCTCGGCGTCACGCGCTGACCTGAGCCTGGGCGCCCGGAAACGTGTCCTCCGCTCCTTATTCATCTCCACCTCCGCCCTCCGCCACCTCCGATACCACCGTCACCTCCACCTCCACCTCCACCTCCACCCCAAACCTCCACCCCAAACCTCCTCCAGCCCCAAACCTCCTCCACCCCAAACCTCCTCCACCTCCTCCAGCTCCTCCAGCTCCTCCAGCTCCTCCAACTCCTCCACCTCCATAGCCACCACCTCCATAGCCACCACCTCCACCTGCCCCTCCACCTGCCCCTCTACCTCACAGCCACCACCTCCACCTGCTCCTCCACCTCCACTACCTCCACCACCTCCACCTTTTGTCGTCGGTGTGGTCGTCGAGCCGTTATTAACGAAAACTACTAGTCGTGGGATCGCGACTGCGGAACGGCCGGGTTCACGTCCAGCCCGCGCGCGGGACGCGTCCCCGCCGCGTCCACGTGCCCGTGCTCGCGCTGCTCGTGGAGGCGGAGCACGGCGACGCCAGGCTCCTCGGAGGCAGCCCCGCCCGATTACCCGCGCCACCCGCCCATCGCGATACGAGTGTGTGTGTTTCGGCGCGCTCATGCTCCTTTGCACAGCTAAAGGGGCGAGAATGGAATTTGTCTTGATGTGATTTTAACAACGTTGGGGCAAGCAAACAATATAATGTCTAGGAAAGCTCCTAATTGCGAAGGAAGTGTAGGCTGCATTCATTTTAAGGGACATGCGCGACCGAGTGCTTGACTCTTGCTTGTCTGCGCGTCTCTCGTCCAGATGAAAAAAAGTACAAAACGCGTCGGGTTTGCCTGCTCTGGCCGGAGGCGTGGCGTGGCGTAGCGCACGGCGCCAGCGGGGGTCACGCGTCGCGTCACGCCCGCGCGGGTCACGCGACCCGACCGGATCCCTGGGTGGTCTCGCGGCTCACGCTCACACCGCGACCAGCTGCTGCTGCTGTTGCTGCTCCTGGTGCTGACCTAGAGTCGCGCCTTGGTGATGGATGCACAACGCAAAGAGTGTAAGATTTTAGTGCGTTTTTTTTTGTGTAGGCATGACTTTTTTAAAAGAACATTGCCATCTTGTTAATTTGGAGAGCATTTTACTTGAACCACCCCGCTGCGCGCCGCCCACACCTCGGCCCGCGTGGCGTGGGTGATGCTCTCTGTGAGGCCAGGGTGGCAGCCTTGCGCCCGCGCTGCCGCTCGCCGCGTAGCGCAACAACTCCGCGGCCGTGTCACACCCAAAGCACAGCCAAAGAAGATGGCAAAAAAAAGATCACACAACTGCAACGACTAGACAATGGAAAAGGCTAATGGCGGTGGAATTCGGAGCGTGTAAAACGAAATGACCCCGACCGCCCGGCCCGGGCGGTCGGGCCCGGCGGCTGCGAGCTCTGCAACAAACTCGATCTGTCGCACCTGCGCGGAGGTGAACAGAAAAAAGCAGCCCGCGGTCGTGAAGGTTCAAGATCGCCTACCCGCGGCTAGCAGCGGGCGAGTCGAGTAGGAGTCGGGCCGCCGAGGAGAGGACCCGGACCCGGACGGACGGCCCGCCCGTTCCCAGTGGTGGAGACCGCGCCCTTCTTTACCGTTCTCTTGCCCGGGTACGCCCTCACACCCGGGCACCGTCAGGTACCACCGCACTGGGTCGGGCGGGGCGAGGCGGGGCGAGGCGGGGCGGGTCAGTCGCATTCCTCTGCGCGGGCGGGTCGGCGGCTGTGTGTGTGTGTGTGTGTGTGTGAATGTTCGTGTAGCAGGGCACCTCGAGCTACGCTTGCTGCACGCCTTTTGCGCCCAACATAAGGCACCCACAAATGAGTTCTCATGACACACACGCACGCCTTGCGCCTCTTCATTGTTTACAATTTTGTATATACCCAGCAGTGCGTGGAAGATGTTTGCTTGAACATGAAAGGTATCCCGCGCAATGGTTAAACTGAGTTGCAAATATGAGGCATATGTCGACGTCTATATCAATCGAAAATGTAGCGATGTCCTTCTTGTACGTGTGAGACGCTTACTTTCATGCGCATGATTTGTATTGTGAAGCTGTGAAAGCCTATGAAGCTGGGCCGGGGGGTTCTTCCTGTAGCCCAAGGTGTAAAGTAATAATTGTTTCTAGTGTCCTTCCTTCCACACCTGGTGTACTGTTTGCATATTACCATCTCTATGAGCGTTTCTTCATTTCCATCTCCGCTGGTCGATAGCGACGAACGGCTCGCTTTCTTGACGCGTGCGTGCGTGCGTGCGTGCGTGCGTGCGTGCGTGCGTGCGTGCGTGCGTGCGTGCGTGCGTACGGCCTTGAGGCTCGAGCGCCTCCTCCTACTCCTCCTCCTGCTTCTACCACAACTGCCTCCTCAAACTCGCTTATTCGCAGAAAAATCACTTTTACACTCAACTCGCGATAGTACATAACTTATTCGAAGAAAGTCGCCCGCTCTGCTACCAAGTGGAGGATAGCAAGTAGTGCAAGCGGTGTGAGGATGAGAGTAGTACGCGCTCTCGCTCTCTCCCTCTCCCACCCCTCCCCCTCCCCTCTCGCTACAACAACCTTGACCACTACGTCGTCGCTGGAAGAGGAGTAACATATAGACGGCGGGGGGCAGCAGCACTCTGCTGCAAGTCGTTCCGATGGCGGTCAACGGCGTCCCGGTGCTTATGGCGGAACGTCTCTGCGGCCCACATTTTCGAAAACGATAAAAATATCGATGTGGCTCAAAGTGATGGCTGCTTACTATACTTGCCCGAAGCCCTCCTCCCCCTCAGGGTCGGTCAGCTGTTACGTGGACGCCGCACAAATGATGCCCCCGGCTTACCTTTTCGCGAGGCGTGGCGATGCGTAGCGCGCTCTCCTTTAGTAGGCCGCCCGACGGTTGCTGTATGAATATACTTTTTTTTCTTTTAACGCGCACGCGGGTTTTTATTGGAAATGTCATGGTCGGTCATGCTCATGCCCCCGCCCCGCCGTCGCCATCTTCTTGAGGGGAGAGGGAAGAGTATGGCAAATCAGGGAGCCGCCGCCGCTGCTGTCTGCGACTTACTGACTGACTGGTCGTCCGACGGGATAACACATTTATTGTCGAACAGCAAGCGCTATTGGCGGTAAAAAAAAAAAAAAAAACACCTACAAAAGTTTTGTAGTCCTCTGAAAAGAAAAACGAGTCAAGCACAGCCAACGTTGCACCGCGCACCAGTCTGCGAAATCCGTCCTTCTCCTGGCGGCCGGACTACATTTTTATTCTTCCATGTCGATATCGCGTCTTAATCGACGTAAAAAAAGTCAAGAAATAATCGGCGTGACGCTTCAAGCTACGGCGGCTGATTATAACGACTGAAAATGAACCGCGAGCAGAGAGGCGCAGAGAACCGCGGAGATAACATTGTTACGGGGGGAGAGAGAGAGAAACAGAGACAGAGAGAGAGATGGAGAACACATCAGTCACCCCCTACAGCACCCCTCTCCTCTCTGTCCACTGCTTGTCGCCCAATCTTGCGCTCCGGCGGCCCAGAGCTAATCATGTCGAAAGGGTCGCCTCCTGGCACTCCCTGCGCGTCGCCCCCCCGCGAGTGCTTTTTGGCAGCCGATGACAGTGACCGGGCCCCGTTAGTTCCACGGCCCGCGCGCGCAACCAACACGTCACGCTTTCGCAGCGCGCGCGCGCGCGCCGACCGACTGCATATTCGATTCATATCGGTCTTCGGTTTGATTGCATTACACTTACCTTACCCGCACTGCTATGCTTTTGCTACTGCTTTGCTTTGCAATTTTTTGTTCCCTTTTTTTTTTGCTCCCTAGCGCGAGGAGGCGGCTCGATAGAGTCTGTTTCATTTGGCTCCGCGTCTGTCCGTCTGTCTGTCTGTCTGTCTGTCTGTCTGTCCGTCCGTCTGTCCGTCTGTCTGCCTATCTGCCTGTCGTTTTGTCGCTTCGTCGCTCTGTCTTGTTCGTCCTTTTTTCTCGGATCATCTCGGTGAATTACTGGAGCTTGGCGCCTGCGATGCTTGGGGTAGGCCACCCCGCAGTACACGCCTGCACTGCATGCAATATGTTGCCTACCCATCAGGCGCTATGGGAGCTTGCAGGCAGTAGTGAGTATGGCTGAACTTTAGAGGGTTCGTCACACGACGGCGAAATACAACGGACGTAATTTCTGGATAATCCCCGAAAGTTGCCGCGCACGGCGCGACGGGCAGCTATTATTGCCGCTCTGTGCTGTCAGCCTCTCTGCTGTGGAGCCGCGGTGGCGCCCGGCCGGCGGCCGGCGGGGCACCGCCCCCACCGCGGTCCCGCGCGAGATCAGCTCCTCTCTGCTTCGCGGTTTAGCCCAAGCCCAGGTTATCGCCTCGGATAAGCAGTGTGTTCCTAATAGCCACGACTGCTCCAAAAACAGGTTCCCCTCTCTGGGTCGACAACCTCTTGCTGCTGCTTCTGCTTCTGCTGCTGCTGCCCGGGCGCACTGCTGTTCCAAATGATTTTCGGGGTGTCACTCGGAACGAATCGCTGGAACTGGTTGAGGACTCGGGCCCCTCCGTGCGCACGACCACGGCGATGGCAGTCTCCGGGTCCACTCCCATCCGCCCAGCCCCGCCCCGAGCTCGTTACAGGAGGCTGACCACCGCGTCCACAGTCCGGCCCCGTCGCCGAAATGCAAACAAGTGTGAATTTGCACGCGTCAGGACCGTTTTGGAGAGGCGTCCGCGTCCGTCCTCCTTTCCGACCTCCTGCGTCGTCCTCTCGGCCGAGTAGTAGCTACTTCACTTGAAAAACAATATCAATAGTACTCCCTTCCCCCCAAAATCATAAAAACCTATAAAAATCAGTAAAGAAATCAGAAGAATAATCAGAGTAAATCAGGAAAGAAACACAGGCTATCAGAAAAATTATCGTACACTTGAATTTATATACCCAAGTATGTACTTCTCGGGCGCGGCGTGTGCGCGGGTCTTCAGTATGAGACTCTCGCGGGCCGCGGCCGTCGAGTGCCCCTGGGCCGCGCGCGCGCCACGCCGCGCCACGCCACCGCTGCATCAGCTGGTTTGGCTTTCACCGGCACGCATAACGCCACGCACTGCGATGCGCGCCCCGTCCCGGCCGGGGGCCCGCGGCCCGCGCGACTCGCCGAGGAGGAATCAGCACCGCTTGTGCGCCGAACAAGCAAGGTCATCGGCGTACCGGGGGCGGGGCGAGGAGGGGCGAGGAGGGGCGAGGCGGGGC